ACACTCTCAGCCCAAGCCCCCAGGGGCCCTGCTGGACCCGCAGGTAAGAAGCTTCTGGACACAATCCTCAACCCAGTGCACTGTGCTGGCACCTTCAGTCTTCGCGGAATAAGGATGGGGGACGGAATGAAAAGGCTCCTCTCTCACAGTAAATGAAGGTATGAAAGGTTCGTTGCCCTCCACAAACTGTGTCGTCTTGTAAACTAATTTCTCTCTTGCACCCATACTCCTGTTATACGGGTAGAGGACTGGGAGAGGTGGCAGAGGCAGCTCTGCTAAACAAAAGAAAAGCACTATTGTACGAATAGATAGACATATTCTGACTTTAGAATTTGAGGCATTTAGTACCTTTGGCTATCAATTCTAGGTTTAGTTAAAATTCAAGAAAATAAGGAAAGTACCCCTCGACCGCTCATCTCATCTGGTACCATATCCATATACTGAACTCTCTCTCCTCATTTTTATATTCTGTTTACACAAATAGACACATGCATGACAGTATGCCCCCTACCCCCTTAGCCACGGTGTCCTTTCCATGGTTTCAGTTACCTGCCACCATCTGCAAATATTAAATGGAAAATTCCAGAAATAATTCCTAAGTTTTAACTTGTGTGCTGCTCCAAGTATCGTGATGAAATCTGAGGCCATCCCTCTCCATCCCATCCAGGACATGACTCATCCCTTTGTTCAGCGGAGTCATTAATAAATTAAAACTTATCACAGGTATGTATATATAGAAAAAAAATACACATGCAGGGTTTGATACTACCCTGAGTTTCACGCATCCACTGGGAGTCTTAGAATACAATAGTCTCTTCTTATCCCTGGGGGATACATTCTAAGTCTTCAGGGTGGAAGGTTAGCTAACACATAGCAAATGTTTAATAAATATTAGTCATGATAGCCAATATTATAGTTCCTTAATATGATCTTTTTTGCCTGTCAGTGTTATATCGTATTCATTATGTCAAAATGTTTTGTTTCCTTTAGGAAAATATTTTTGTGAAATTTACTCTGAAGAATGAATTAAATCTTTCCCTCTTAACCACAGATCCATGTTGCATTTTTTTCTACTTTGTCCATCTTTTATGCAACTAGAATGCTGTCTTGCATACTATAAACACAAATGTTTATCATAAGTATATCTCAATTTTTTTTTACATTGACTTAGAAAATGAAGCTGGATGTGAGGCTGACATTTTATTAATTTCTCTGAGAAATAAAGCTCTGGGTTTAATTACTATTAATAGTAATATTTAGTAAATACTTAGTATTAATTAATAGTAACCTTAATATACTAGATCTTTTTTTCACTAGCAAGTGAAATTTGTTGATACTTCTAAGCATTAACAAAGTTAAAGATTCATGTTAAATACTGCAATCATGTTTCAAACTTTACAGGATTTCTACTGTGTTTCCCCGCAAATAAGACCTACCCATAAAATAACCCCTAGCAGGATTTCTAAGCATTTGAGCAATATAAGCCCTACCCTGAAAATAAGACCTAGTGATGGGCGTGGCTACGAGCCCTTCTCATCTGCCCCATGAGAGCTCTGTTGCTCGACAGGAGAGATTGGGGCCAATGCTTCTAAAGGAAATAGAGTCGCAAGAAATTCAGGATGGAATTTGGGGTTTGGAGAGTTATGATGATGACCTAGAAGACGATGACTTAACCATATTTGAATAAATGTAGACTGTTGTACCGTACTTAAAAAAACACATCCCCTGAAAATAAGCCCTAGGGTGTCTTCTTCAGGAAAAATAAATGAAAGACCCTGTATTAGTTTCGGGGAAACACGGTACTTAAAAATCATAAGCATATACTACTGTTTAATGATACATTTTATACTGGAATCACAAGAGTAATCTGTTACTTGAATAAGATAAATTATCTCAAGCATCACAAATGTTTAAATACAAATGCGCTTATTATTCCTTAATCCTAAAATATTACTACCAAAAGTTTAATTTGTTCTGTATTCTACTGTCTACATTTTCCCAAGATTTAAATGTATTTACCCAGTAAGGAAACAAATGTGTTATTCCAAATGATTTTTGGATTGCCTGCACGACCAAAGTCTTGTGGAGACCTTCTGATAGCCGAGATTGCTGAAGTCTGCAGCCCCATTAAGACTATAGCTGACCGTCACTGTTGCTGTGGTTTTGCAGCTTTTTGTTTCCCATCAGACAGTGAAAATCAGAATAGGTAACATATACATATGTTTTCATTGTGTTATTTTTAAATGTTCACAATTTTATTTTGATATATGAAAAATGAGAAAAGTCGTATCATGGCTGTCGGCTAAAGTCGACACTCGGCTATGCACCTTCATCCGTGGCTATCGACTACGGTCGACGCTCATATGGAAGTGGTTATCCAGGTTGGAATTACTCTCCTTGGAATCAGCCCCAACAGAAATCAAGCACCACAGGAAATGCAGAAAGAGAATTTATGCTGGGAAAGCATAAAGAGCAACAAAAGTAATTTTCTCTCTCCTTCTCTGGCTATGTATTTGGCATGACACTATGCCATTATTTCAAGAATGTGTAAAACAGGCACGGTGGTGTGCACCTATAGTTCCAGCTACTTGAAAGGCTGAAGCAGGAAGATCACTTAAGCCCAGGAGTTTGAGGCTATAGTGTACCATTACTGTGCCTGTCAACAGCCACTGCACTCCAGCCTGGGCAACATAGTGAGACCTTGTGTCTTTAAAAAAAAAAAAAAAAAGGCCAGATGCAGTGGCTCATGCCTGTAATCCTAGCACTCTGGGAGGCGAAGGCAGGGGGATTGTTTAAGCTCAGGAGTGCAAGAGTGAGACCCTGTCTCTACCAAATATAGAAAAAAAAAAAATTAGCCGGGCATGGTGGCGCATGCCTATAGTCCCAGCTACTCGGGAGGCTGAGGCAGGAGGATTGCTGGAGCCCAGAACTCAGGGTACAGTGAGATATGACTGTGCCAGACAAGATCCTGTCTCTTAAATAAATAAAAAGGGGGAGGGGCTGAAAAAACTGAGAAATGTTTTAAAATATTAGTTTAAAAATAGCAATAGATTTTCATAAGCATAAAAATAACTATCTTTAAAAATATACTTTATTTCTTTTAAAAAAGTGAGAAAAGTGGCACTGTTTTACAGTTTGCAAATCTCCTTATTGTCTGGCTTAACAGAAGTGGCTGGGTTCTCAGATTTGGTCTGAGAACCATTCCATCTGGTTTGGTATGCTGGTATGGCTAAAGTATATGAAAAAAATCTGACTCCGCACAGGAACGTAATTGGAAAAAGGAGGAGCATTTCAACAGCCTTTTCAGATAATGGTGGACATTCTTCTTTGAAATTATACCAAAACTGGACAAGTAGTAGTTTCTTAAAGATGAGGTGCAGTGTATAATCTGAAACCATCATTGAATTTTTCATGCTCTACTACATTAAAATCCATTGGTCCATCTTGCACATTGAACAGATCTTTTACCACTCCTTTATGATTTTGTAGCAGCATGTGTTAGTCATGCAGATCTTCTAAATGCAGACAAAAATCTTTATATAAAATCAAAAAACACATTTGTTAATTACCACCCATCATTAGAAAAGTCTTTGTTAAGCAACCGGTAGAGGTGAGTTGAAGATCAGCCTGAACAAGAGCAATACTATTTCCATTAAATATGGGGGGGGGGGGAAGGCCAGGACCAGGGGCATGTGCCTATAATCTCAGCTACTTGGGAGGCTGAGGCAAGAGGATCACCTGAGCGCAGGACTTGAAGGTTGCAGTGAGCTATGATTCCACTGCATTCTAGACGGGGCAAAAAAGCAAGACTCCGTCTCAAAAAATAAAGTCTTAAGGGAAGCTGTCAAGCTCCCAGTGGGGGACACGAGTTTTCCAAAATTACAAATTTTGCCAGAAATCTCAATTTTATCACTGGCAACAAAATACCATCATTTTTCCTTGAAGCAAGAAGTTGACTTCAATCAATTTTGAGAAAATGTCTGCCAAACACTGACAGAAAACTATGGTTGGCTATTTGGTCAGTCATTCTTTTTAGTAAAAATGGTATTTGGTGACAAAAAGCAGCTAATTCAATTCCCAAGTCAAATAATCAAATAAATGCTTTTCCTGAAGACAACCCTCATACTTTGGCATGCAGCAGAAAGTGCTTTCTGTATACTTGAGACTGCACACAGAATACTGATATGGTACCATAGATACATATGCAAAGGCATGTAAATGCAGAAGAAACGACGAGATAATATATCCCATATTTAACAGGGGCTGCCTTCTGGTAATGGGATGCGGAAAAATGAGAATATGCGAGATTTTTCTATTTAGAGTTTCAATGTTTTACAATGAATTTTTTCATGTATTATTCATGTAATAAACTAAGAAAACAAGTGGATATAAAAAGGTCTGGTAGGATACACAGAGAGAGTTGACTGTTCCACCAGCAGAACTGAACTATAAGTGATTTTTATTTTCACTTTTTCACTTCTCTAGATTGTCTAGTTCTTCTATAACAAACATATATTTCTTCTTTACTAACAAGTTATTTTTATTTACAAAAAAGTCAATCGAAGCTTTGGAATGTAGGTGAACTGCTTTAAGTTATATAAACCATGGTTTATACCCAACTCTGTCAGAGTATGGGCTTTAAATATGTAAGTCATATGTGCCAGGTAAGAGATTCGAATCAAATTCTGACGTCCTCAAAAAATAAAGGCAGTGAGGCAATTAAGTAAATGAAAGTTTGAAATATATCTTTATAATGTTCAGTATGAATGACATTGTTTTATTATTTGAAAAATAGAAATCATGTATAAAATACAAAGTGCATAGGTGCGTGGTACAATTCGGATCCTTGTTATATTTTTCCCTATTAACGTGGAACCCAAAATGTTTCATTTTCACTAGTTTGGTCAACTTACACCATTTAACAATGCATATAAGAACTATGCTTTCTTACATCTACATCTTTCTTACATCTATTTCTGGGTCAAAAAGTACATTTCTTCAGGCAATTATCTGCCATCCTACCATTTATTCTTAGACACACAAGTATAGGCGTTCATTCAGTAAGCAAAAATTTGACATTATTTTACATCTACATCCAATGTTATATTTTATAGAAATATAGATATTAGCTACCGATTAACGTGTATCAAGAATAAATCAAGTTGTATTATATTTTAAAATATAAATAAAATTTTGGTAATATATATTTTATGTCACACAATTACACATAATACTATTATCTATTATCAAATTCCAGCACATTTTGCAAATATACTATTGTCATAAATCAGATTAGAAAACAGGACAATAACAGTTTCTTAAAGCAATCTTAAGGGAAATCTATTATTCTATGATATACTCACTTAGGCCCCCCCAAAGACCCAACGTGAACTACAGAAGGCTGACTTTTAAGATGCCAGTGCATGAATGAGGAGTAATAATGCAAAGCTCACCTATCAGAAATGAAATATAGTTCTCCCTCATAATACGGCAAGACATAAGTGTTCTCGCCATTGCCAATTTAACTAAAAAGACCTTTCTTTTTTGTTTTCTCCTTTGATTTCTTGCTGGTATCAGCTAAGGTCTCATTTCCTTTGGAAAACCATGGAGGTAATTTTCTCTTTAAGGTTTCAGATGAATTCTACAAGAAACAGAAGGAGAAAGAAATATTTGCACTATTGAGAATGTGTATCAACTGCAAAAAAGTAACACAGGTTCCTGAATATACATCCAGCCTTTCCTCCCCCACCAAACAAAACAGTGACAATTTTATTTCTGGGTCAAAAAGTACATAAGTATAAGAGAAACAAAATCACTATATCATTTCTTCAGGCAATTATCTGCCATCCTACCATTTATTCTTAGACACACAAGTATAGGCGTTCATTCAGTAAGCAAAAATTTGACATTATTATACATCTACATCCAATGTTATATTTTATAGAAATATAGATATTAGCTACCGATTAACGTGTATCAAGAATAAATCAGGTTGTATTATATTTTACATATACCCTTACTGAATTCCAAATAATTGAGGTTATATAGTTTTCATCCCATTTTCTGTATGAAGAAATTGAAGCTTAAAGCTGTGTTCCCTTTGGGTTGACCAAAATGGTAAATTTATTCTGAGGAAGGTACCTGCCTGGGTATGTACACAGTTTATCAGGCATGTGAAAAAGAACATATAACATCTACAATGGGTAGGCAAGAAGGTCCAATCATCATAACCTTGAGTGGCTGAGACAGCAGACACTCAAAAACTGAGTAAATGAAGAAAAAAAAGTTCTTATAGACTCCTTTGAGAATCTGTTGACTACAGGTTCACTTCCCAGGAAAAAGAAACGTATATGTGCACAATACTCTGTATACAATTTTAGCAGCTCATATAACAAAAATCCTCTAAACTACAGGTTAAAAGTCCCTGGGGAAAAAAAACACACAAAGGCAATAATTCGTATCCTATACTATACCATCTGAACATGAAAAAAATAAAACAATTTTAAGCAGTGTTCCATAAGCCTAAAATGGCACACATTTGTGTTATCTCAGTTTGAGTACCAGATCCTCCGAATAGCATAACAGAGAAATCATAAGTACACCTTGGAATCCAGCAATTGATTTGCATATTAGAAGTATTTGAAAGACTTGAGAAGATGGCCTCATCTAAGTCACAATGTGTCTGTTGGCAAGCAGTTGATGAACAGTATATAAATATAGTCTTCATTCTTGAAGTAGAATGAATTATACTTTTGGCTTTTAGGCTATGTTTTATTATATTATCTATGTTTAAAAGCCTTGAAGTAGTGAAGGGTAGGAAAAATGCAAAAGATCTTTGGCAGAAGACTGTGAAAATTTACATTTAAAAAAAAGGTAAAAACTGTTAGTTATTCCAGCTTAAGTAAAGAAATACAGTGTAGAAAAAAGGGCTGTTCACATGTCAGCAAACACTAAAGAAAAAATTGGCTAAAATAGCAACTTTGGACCAGGCGCGGTGGCTCACGCCGATAATCCTAGCACTTTGGGAGGCCAAGGTGTGAGGATAGCTCAAGATCAGGAGTTGGAGACCAGCCTGAACAACAGCGAGACCTCATCTCTACTAAAAATCAAAAGAAATTAATTGGACAACTAAAAATATATAAAAAAAAATTAGCCAGACAGGGTGGCGCATGCCTGTAGTCCTAGCTACTTGGGAGGCTGAGGCAGGAGGATTGCTTGAGCCCTGGAGTTTGAGGTTGCTGTGAGCTAGGCTGATGCCACGGGACTGTAGCCCAGGCAATAGAGCGAGACTCTGTCTCCAAAAAAAAAAAAAATATATCAACTTTGTTCCTGGATACCCGTTTCCAAGTAGGGAAGAATAAACCAGGAGAATGAATGAGATTTATGTTTACTGTACGATACTATAACGTTTGACTTAGAAATAATATTAGGGATATAAGGTGGCATAGTGAAAAGGCATTTTGGTAATGATAAAAAAGGCTCAGAAATATTTATTCTTCCCAAAAGATATTAGCTTCAAAATCCCCTGTGGCCTGTGACAACTATGGTTGTTTGCAAACAGAGTCTGAACCCCTTAGTACACGTACAGGGAAGAACCAAGTTAAGCTTGTAACAAGGCCAAAGAGTAAGACATCTGAGCAGTAATAATAAAGCAGTAGGAAAAACCCTAAGTCTCTTTCTAGTCTAATAACATACAGTAAGCACAGACTTTGAAACCAGGCAGAACTAGATTTGAATTCTCATTGAGCCAGTTGGTAAATGTATGACCTTATACGTGTCATTTAAGCTTCAATTTCTTTACACAGAAAATAGGATTCATAGTATATAACATCACTGAATTATTTGGAATTCAATAAAGATATATGTACAATATTGTAACACAATCTGATTTATTCTTGATACTCATTAAATGATATTAGCTACCAATTAATGTCTTTTATCTATAGTTCTATAAAATCATCAGTATTATCCCATAATGATAATTATTGTTTCATTGAAAAGGGGGGGAAAATACTTACCTTGAGTGTCCCCTTTTTTTTTTTTTTTTTTTTTGAGACACAGTCTTGCTCTGTCACCCTGGGTAGAATGCAGTGGCATCATTGTAGCTCACCCATAGCCTCAAACTCCTAGGCTAAGCAATCTTCCTGCCTCAGCCTTCCAAGTAGGTGGGACTACAGGTGTGTGCCACCACACCCAACTATTTTTTCTATTTTTTATAGAAACGAGGTCTCACACTCTTGAGCTCCAGTGACCCTTCCAACTCAGCCTCCCAAAGTGCTAGGATTACAGGCATGAGCCACTGTGCCCAGCCTTGAGTGCCTCTTTTGAGTCTCAACAGTAAGTATCTAAGAAGACCTTAATTAAGAGAGCTAAGTCACTTAACAGAAACAATGCCTACCAGAATCTATTTCCTTCACCAGTAGAAGATTAAAATTCCCAATAATCATAACAAAACCGTAAGGGGCTCTTTATCTTTCTGATACTCCAAATTCTATCATCAAGCTATTACCATTAAGTTGCAAATAGAAAACATCAACTCATTTGATTATACATACACAAATATATGTAAGCAAATAGAGAAATATTACATTCACACTTAATTTCATCTATAACCAAGATAAATCTAAACATTTATTTGTCAATTCCGATACATCTGTCATGAAAACTATTTCCTTAAATCAATTTTACCTGTAAATGAGAATCTGTAAATAAATCTTCTCTCTCTGGATGGTTCGATGGCTCATTCTGAGAAGTCAGTCTTATGGAATTGCTGTCACTTTCCTCTTTCAGTGAAAAATTTTCAAGATGTTTTCCATGAACCTTTAAAATTTTTATGGAATGCAAAATAGTTATACCATGCACTATTTTATTAGTCATAAATAAAAACAAGCCCTATGCCTAAAAAAGAAAAAACAGGGCTTAAGAAAATTCTTATTATTCCAAAGTACTAAATTTTAACAATAATGCTCTCCCCTCGCCCCCTCAAATTCCCTTGTTGGTATCTGATGTTATTTCAGTAGGGGGAAAGCAAAACTGCTAACGTGTGGTTTAAGTAATAGTTTAGTAACAGTTAAAAAAAATAGCATTCTACTATGAGGATATGCAAATTGAACAAAAAGATACTATATGAAAATTCTACACATAATTAACACCTTAGTATTAGTGCCTACTTCTTCCTTGCTTCTCTTAGAACTTGAACAGCTCTCTTCAGAGTTGAGGAAACATCTCTTTTTGTTGGAGTCACATGAAGGTTGGCATAACAGTCTGCTGTCATGATCATTTTTAAGGATCTCAATTGCCATGTGGATAAGGTACGTGTCAATGTTTTCAGGAACTAATGTTCTAATTAATTCTATTTTATTCATATCTGTAAAAGATGAAAAAGTTCATTTTAAAATAAATTACGGAGAACATTTTAGAAAACATGTTAAGCTAGAAATAGTGAAATATTTCATAGAAAGCAAGGAGGAAGAATGTGAAAGAAAAATTTTCTCTTTTAAATGCCTATAGCCCTACAGAATGGAAATGGAGTTAAAAACTCCACTCCTGTGTTACCTGAACCCCTGGCCTCCAACACTCAAAGTCAGGAGAGTATTATTGACTCTGCATAAATTATGTTTCAAATTGTCTTTTGTGGGCTGCCTCGAGAATCCAAACAAGCATTCACAGAATTGTTTCTAAAGGAAACCATCCTTCAAATTCCAAATATCAATTACAAATTATTTTTCTTAATTTTTTATTGCTTCTCAGCCTTTCAGCTAAGACCAAGTGTAAAAATAATTTATTCTTAAAATAAAAGCTAATCATACGTATTTAGTAAGATTCTAATAAAAAGAATCCTTTCAGTAGTTATTATATAACAAAAGATATCAACTATTTAAAATGCATATTTTCCCAGAAACTTCATCTAATTAATGTCTTATTTTCAGAATCAAAACATTTTGAATTCTTTGTGACCCCACAGAACTAACTCAGACTGTCAATCTCTTCACACCTTCTATAAATTATGTAGCAATCTTCTACACTATAGACCACTATTTACGTTTCAGAGCTTCCCCCCAACGTCACATTCAGCTGCAATGCTTGATGTTCGCACAAAGATGAAATCGCCTAACACGTTGCTGAGAACGTATCTCATCGTTTTAAGTGATGCACGACTGTATTTCTCACAATTCTATAAAAGAGGCAACATTATCTTCCTGTTTTGGAGATGAGGAAGCTGAGGCTTAGGAAAATTGGGTACTTTGCCAAAGGTAACAGAGCAAAGCAATGGTAGAACCAAGACCCAAAGAGATCTTTCTGGTGCCAGAGCCTTTGCTCTTACTGACTAGGCTAACACCACCTGTCAGTCTCTGGGATTTAAAGAAGGTGGTCAAATGACAGCAAAAATAGTTGTCAACAGAAGAAAAAAAAAAACTGTACAAATTGTTTCAGAGAATATTGCCTATTTAATATCCTAAAAAAGACACAAATTTCTTTAAGTTTTGAGAGAGAATACATTTATGAAAGAAAATTCCAGAGTATTAAAATCAAGAAAGCATTTGAGTTTTTGGCTTCCCTGAAACACGGTCTTATTTTGCATTAGAGAAACAGAAGTTTATATAATCCTAATTCTAACCCTACCAAGTAATTACTACTTTCCTCCCTCTGGTTTAATTTCTGACATTATTAACAGGAAGACTGGATTGTGACCAGGAGAGTTGGCTAGCTTTCTCACAACACGACTCACTACATTACCTTGCATATTTTACCACATAGCCTAGGACTTGGCCGTAGGGTTTTCAAATTTAGAAACCTCATTTAACCTTAGCAGATCCCCAGTAACCAAGTTCACAAAATGCTAATTTATTAACTTAAAATCATGAATTCACAAGTATCCCATAGATAAATACACAGATTAGCATGACTACTGCATGCTTTCCCTACATACAGATCTACACGTGAAACCAAATTATTGCCAGGCCCTTAACATACATGAAGTCTCACTGGGCACCACTCCTCCTTCCTGGAACTTAGATGAGCGCTACCCAAACCTGCCTCCACGCCTCTCTTCCTTGTGTTTCCCTGTAGATCGCTGGAAGTAGCAGAGGTGTTCGTCCTTTAGACCATCAGTCAAGTCTTGCTCAAACCTAGAAATAGTGCTGCCTTCTAAGGTGACTTGATTATTTTTGATCTGATCAATTATGTACATTATTGACTGCGTTTTCAGAAAGTGATCTTATTTCCCTTATTTCCAAATTCTTGGGGGAAGTTATATAGTAGTTCCCATGCGGGAAAGAATTTGAGGTAACAAAAAATATTTGTACTGCGGCTTTGGAGATAAGGCTTTTGAATGGTCACTGCCCTATCCTAACGGCCTGAAAAAATTTATCAGACGTACTGAGTTATAAGACACAAAGTTTATATTTACACTTTGGGGGGGAGGGGAAATCTTCTAATGTACTTCATTTTTACTTCTGTAAAAAAACTGATCATAACTTAAATTCTGCAGGGCAAGCGAAGGGGCGGGCTCGATGTGCATGAGTACAGTTGAGAAGGTTCTGCAGCAAAGTGACAAGAGGAAATCCTTCCACAAGGGCCCTATACAACCTGGTTTGTCTCTTCCATGTCACAGTGAGTGATACCACTGACTGGTGATTAGAAAGGCTACTCAAGGGAAACCAATGACAAGGACTCAGAAAGGGTTGGGAAAACTCAGTCAGCAAGCCACTGGGAATAAACGTGGAGGAAAAAAAAACATGATTTTTTTTGGCAAGTGATGGGGTAGAAACTAGAAACGAATTAAAGTGCAGTGTTTTGGGATGGGTGGGGAAGTTGTAAAGGGAAAAAAAATAACTGATCAATATCATTTCCTCTGAGTGCACATGGGAAGAAAGATTGTTTTTCTCCAACAAGAAAAAAGCATTACCAAAGTAAGGTTCTCATAATAGCATAAAGGGTCAATGCTGTTGAAATGAGAAATATTAACCCATGCTTGTTTACTTTATCTGGGTGCAATGACTCAAGTCATTAAAGCTGCATACAAGGGCAGCACTTATCACCTGAGTTGACGGGAGGGTTTCGGATAACATCAGCAATAATCTTCTGAACCTCTGGAGTCAGTCCTGCTCGCTCCAAATCTAGGGGGTAGCCGGCTTTCATCGCTTGGGATAAATGCATACCAACTGTTTTGAGAGGCAGAATCCTGATCCCAGCTATTCTATTCTAGAGAAGTAACAGCAAAGGAACCAGTCAGTTTTTAAAAGTTTCCACTGTACTTCATGGGAAAAAAAACATCCGAAATGTTCAGGTCATAAATGTTCACTGAGAAATAAACAGTGGACTAAACCTTCACTTAATTTTTTCATTTTAATAATTTCTTTAAAACTACCCACATTATAGACCTCCACAGGATCTAATTTTTGTACTTATTATACTCTATTGAATAAAACAAAATCCACCCAGCTTTAGCTAACAATTCAATCCTCATCCTCTAATAGCTGTCACAACCTTTTGAAAACATAGTAGAGCAATATTCTATATACTTGGAACAAATGGTGCTTTGGTTACATGAATTTCCAAGAAGGCAAATCCTAAAATGCTTAGTGATTAACATGAGGCTCCAGATGCATTATATAAAAGGTTCTTGAAGAATTTAATAAGTGTTTTAAATTGGCTCTACTCACAACAATAACTACAATTTCACAAGGGCTGTCACCACTAAACTTAACATGAATTGTTTAAATTTAGGATAGTGCTACATATTTATATAGCTTTTTAAACAAATGTGGCTCCAAATACATTTTATGTATTAGGTAAAACATTCATTTACTCAGTTCCAACTTATTTCACGATACTCTCTTCCACCACGTTTTAAAAGTCTGAATTTAGACCATATTTGTGTGAATGTTCATTGTTTCACAGAATAGTATTTAAGGCCTTATTTTCATCCTTCAAAGGTAGGTTTTAAATTACTTTCATTAAATGTCTACTCTTTTCTACCAGAAAGCGTGCACCATGTGTGCATAATGTCAGGGTTATTTGATACCAGGCATCAAATTACCTCTAACTGACTGTGTTATTTCTCCTGATTAATTAGTCCTTAGGCATGTTTAATTTTGTGGTTAACTGGCAGGATCCTCTCAAACTCTCAAGAGGTACAGATAATTACACCATCATATTAACAATAAAATATAACCAAATAATACCAAAAGACAGAAATAAATGTACCATTCTTCATCTTCAACCATAAACATACAACATAACATATGAAACCTCATATTATGGCTGAGTATTAGAATGTACTTTATTCAGAAAATTTGGAGCCAATACCAAATTTTCTTAGTAATTCTATTCAGTTCTACCATACATGCATGGTCAAATTGTGTACATACACACATATTTAACATATACATGTAAGTTATTTGCATAAGACATTGAACTTAAAATTCCTATTTATCACGTGTTTTATTTCAAAAATAGTATTATGGAATTATCTGATTTCTTGGGTAATGGCCTTTGTAAGGACCGTTAAGAAATTTGAGTATCTCATTAGAACATTCAGTGAGTAAGATATAAGCTATGGCCTTTCTATTCTTATTTATTTTGAACTTCATCTGAATAAAGAATGTGTAACATAGCATAGTGGATGGAGGCACAGAGAACAAAAAAGGCTGGCATTGGATCATATAACCTGTTCCACGTCAATTTAATAACAGAGGATGGGAATTCAAATTAGTTAACTTTAGCTGGAAGCCTTATTGTGCCCCTATTCCATTAAGATATATACTCTATTTTGTATACAAAAAAACCTCAACAACCTTAAGTATGGTCATTTTTTATAGAAGATTTTTTCCAAAGAACATGAAGGATAGTTAAAAACTTTTCATTCTGTATCTTGTAGTATTATTTTTTTAAAAAACTTATTTCCAGTGTTTTGGATATCCATATATATTTTTTATACATATGCATGAAGATGTGAATATATAAGCAGGCATATATACATACATATACATTTGTGTTTGTTTTTCACATTGTTTTGCATCTTTTTAACTTAATGTTATCTTTAAGATTGTTTCTTAACAGCACATACACCAATAGTTTTTTTTTAACTAGTCATGTTTTTTAAAAATTGAGTTTTAAAATATGGCTGCTGTAATATCCCTGGGCTATAAATTGGGTTTATCAGTACCCCTGCTACAGCCTCTATAAGATAATCATGGTCAAACTATATTTACTGCTATTATTTAATTGACAGAGGTAGGCTTAACAGAAAAAGGAAACAACATTCTGTTTTAAAGATAAAATGAGATGTATTGTTAGAAGAAACAGATCCCAAGTTCCAGCTTTAACATTAAAAAGCTGGTAAAACACAAGCATAAGTAAACTAAAAAAAAAAATTCTCCGTAACTTGAAAGTAACACTTACCAAACACATCTTCTTTTTTTGGAATAAAGAATACGTGATCATCAGAGAATGTGAAAATGAGTATTTTTTCTTCTGTTCTTCTTGAGGTTTGGCAATTGGAAAGAGGTCTGTCTACAGAATTTTAAATATAGCACAAATGATCAACAATATCCAAACAATAGTAGCATACAAATATGATCCTTAGCCATTAGGGGAAAAATAATATACATAAAAATCTCTCAGTAACAAAGAATTCCTTTTGTATAGGAGCTCAAAAACAATTGGATTTTTTAATATATGAATTTAAAAAGGTAGAATAATGCTAGACAAAATAAACTTTTAATAAAATATTTGTAATAAAAAACATTTTCTAGTCTTTAGTTAATAAGAAGGAATAAAAAAGGAACTGGGAGGGAGTGATATATAGGCTGGGAGCAATAGGTCAAATGCCTATAACCCTAAGAGTTTGAGACCAGCCTGGGCAACATAGCAAGACCCAGTATTTTCTTTAATTAGCCAGACATTGTGGCTTACATCTGTAGTCCCAGCTACTTAGGAGGCCAGAGCAGGAAGATCACTTAAGTCCAGGAATTCAAGGTTACGATGAGCTATAATGGGGCCACTAGCCTGGGAGACAGAATAACAGAGACAGACTCTGTCTCTCAGGGAAGAAAAAAAACAAAGGAATTATAATATGAACCACTGTAAATTAGTATCCTAATCCCCTGGAAGTAAATATTGAATGAGTGAATAAATTGAATTTATATTCAAATTTAGGTACTATCACTACAAATGCTGCTAACTTATAAGGAAACAGATCATATCCATATAAAGCACTACTCAGAAAGTATCAGCCATGTAACCATTCTCGTTGCATTATCAATGGCTGGACAGCGTGTGTGTGTGTGTGTGTGTGTGTGTGTGTGTGTGTGTGTGTGTGTGTGTGTTGGAAAGCAAATACAGTGATTTACAATGAGGCATGTAACTGGAAAGTTTCACTTGGCCCAACCAGTGCATTCTGTCCTAGCAAGCTTGGAATATAACAAGGGAACTTCTGATAGTGACTTAAGGCGTCTCCTAATTATAAAAGTAGGTTGAGGCATTCTTCCTGGCAATTAAAGTATAATATTTAAATCTAGTTAGCCAAAACATCTTATCTGAATGGTGCTTAAGTAGCTTTGCTTACTTTTGTCCTTATGCCTTTCTTATTCATGTTTCCATAACAGACTACTGTCTGTTCAGTCTTTGTTTTTGATATTCCCCACAAAAGTCATGAAAAATGGTAAAATGAGCCCCCATGCATGTACCACCTAGTTTTAACAATTGTCATTCATAGCCAGTCTTGTTTCATCAATGCCTTCACACATTCACCAACTCCCCTACGCCTATCCCTAAATTTTTTTGATACATAATAGCTGTACATATTTATGGGGTACAGGTAGTCTTTTATCTACATAGAATATAATTTGATTAGATTTTTGCTCACTATTATCACATTCTGGCCCTGTCATCTTCAGATTACTTTGAATTTGCTGAGTATTTTGGATATTACTAAAGTTGGATGTTTATAGATAACGTCATCTTTTTGTCCCCAAAATCTGTCAATATGTCTGATAGTATTTAAGTTTTACTTCAAAATTTTAAAAAATATATTAAAAGCCACTGAAAATGATAAATAATAAAACTGGGGCTTAATAAATTAGTGTTTGTTAATTTCTTTAATAAATGGTTTCAATTTGCAGAATAATACAGGAATAATTCCTCATCAGAGAAATGAGTTATTTGCTCCTCCCAGAAGGTTTGCAACGGTTTCATATCTACCTACCCTTTGGAGCATTTATCTTCTGCCCCACTTCAGTTTCCTCTCCTGAAGGGAAGTTGGGAGGGATAATTCATTCACTGTTAAATAATACCACTAGTTTAAGAAAGAAGATAGTAACATCAAGTATATAAAGAGAGCATACTTATTCAATTACTGATGGTAGGTATGGTATTATTTATCAAATCATTCAGACATTATAATTTCATTTTCAAATTATCCACAAGGAATTTTCAAATGATGCCTTGCGTAAGAGTATAAAAAAGAAACTTTAAAGTTGCCAAAGATACTCTATAGCAAAAGAGGGAAATGCTATATATTATACAAAGAGCAGAACGGTTTTCCACTTAGAGAAGGATTTTTCTAAAGCACAAGCCAACTCTGCCTGCGCAAAGCTTAACTGGAGATTCTTAGAAGAAAAAGCAATCCCATGATATTCTCTTGAATGCATTTAATTCTTCCAGCTTTTTCATAGACGTCTCATGTCTTTGATCCTTCTAATGTCATCCTTATTTCCTTGACTGGGGGAAGGAAGAATCATTTCCATTGTGTAGGTAAAGAAATGGAGACCCAAAGAAGGTAAAGATGTTGAAGCCCCCCCAGGCAAACTACATAGATAAGAGCTAAGATCCTGAGTCCCTCACTGAGTCCAGTAGTCTTCGCACTAACCACACACTGCCTCGCCTTCTGTGCTGGAGGACACAGCAGAGAGTCTGCACATAGTTTAAAAAAAAACCCGAAAGAATCCTTATGCAAATGGTCATTTATGGTGGGGTAAGACGTAATAATAAGATATGAAGGAAATGCTATTAAGACTGAAGAGAATAAAATGAAATCTATTTAATATCATTACTGAAAGGGGAGGCTAATTACAGAATATGCCAAAAAATAAGAAATAGAAAGTAGCTGAGCTCCTTACCAACTGATTGCAGCTTTAATTTCTAACTACCACATTTCAAAGTAAAAGTTGGAATTTATCAACCTAAAATATAGTATGCAATATTTTTTGAGACAGGATTTCACTCTGTTCCATTGGCTAGAGTACAGTGTGGCACAATCACAGTTCACTGCAGCCTCGAAGTCCTGGGCTCAAGCGATCCTCCTGCCTCGGTTTCCTGAGTAGCTGGGACTACAGGTGCACACCTCCATGCTAACTTTTAAAAAAATGTTTTAGAGAAGGGATCTCACCATGTTGCCCAGGCTGGTCTGAAACTGCTGGCCTCCAGCGATCCTGCCACTTCGGCCTCCCAAAGTGCTGGGATTACAGACGTGAGACACTGCACCTGGCCTTCATTCAAATTTAAAAACAAAACCTCCCAATGACATAGAAAGACATGAGCAGCCTGGACAACTCCTTTAGTATCATCTTTAAAAGTAGGTCACTGACATGTTTTCACAACAGAAACCACTGTAGAAACCATCTGAATTCATTTTCTAAGTGTCTAGTATGGAGATGTAAATAAAGGGAGAAAATGTTGCTTTTGAAGGGTGCCTTTGAAATGGTAGAAAAACGCTAACTCTCTAATAAGAGTTCCTGAAAATCACGGTATTTTACCTGAATGTTATTTACTTCACAGAAATGTTTGATAACTTCCAACAGAGGGGTCAACATGGTAGCTTTGCCTTCAGAAACACCATCGATCTTTTTTAGATTTTCAACCGTAGTTGGTCTGTGTTTAAAAAAAAAAAACAAAAAAGGTCAAGAAACCACCGAAACAGTATCACTCCAGCCACAGAGCTGATTTTCAGCTTCATATTGAAAATCTCAATAAATGTACATTTTTTCCCACAAAACCAATATATAATACAAGTAACCAAGTTTTATAACTTCTTTCTTTGCTTTCCACCACTTAAAGACTTGCCGTTTTAACAATTTATGAATAAAGACACTACTGCCTCCTTCACCAGAAAAACACATTACTAATGGTAAACAGGCCATTATCATGAAGAAACAGGCTAACATCAAATGTTCTGCTCTATTACTGATTTTATTATCATGATTTTTATAGAAATGAAAAGGAAAACTATGAGGCTATAAAAGGGGACAATTAAGAGGCTATGAAACTCTCAGAAGAAAGTCTTTTATTATTTTCTCCTACAAAGTAGTTACCTGTAACAGTAAATCTGCTAACTGTACTTTAGTCTTTTAGCTCAATATTTCTTATTTCTGATTGTGTCCAATATCCAAGAGACTGTATGATGTCTTCTTTCTAAAAGTCTGCCAATCTAATGATTACTTTTTGCTTAAATATCTTGTCTAAATATTAAAGTATAATCTTAGAATATTTTTATCAAAATGTGCGATATAAACACTCTGTAGTATCACTGGAATAGTCTGCACTAAGTAAAATTTAGTGACAGAAACAATTTTTTAAAAAGAAGCATATAATTACCAGAAAAATTTTTACAAGAACGAATATAATTACCAAGCAACTATTCTTTGGAAATAATTTCTTCTAAATATTTAATGACCACTTTGTGTTTCCCACAGCACCTAGCACAATTCCTGACAAACACTAAGAGATGAGGAACTAATACCTTTATTCTGAGAGTTTATATAATAATACATGTTTACCACTAATGACAAAAAAATAAAATACAGCACTGTGTGGTAAGTGTCACAGAAGCATCTTTAGAATTCATCTAAAAGTCCTTCGTAAATTCAAGAGAAAGGAATTTAAGACCACGTAAGACTTCATGGAGGAAACAGTAATCTGTTTTAGATTACGGATTACAGGTCTAGCTTTGTTGCTAGATCTTGAAGGATTTCTTAAGAGGAGTTTTGAGAAATGAAGGAAACACTGCAAATAAATACCTGGAAGGTTAAAAGGACCTTTGACAATGGTAAACAAAACTATTCCAAATTCTGTGACATAGATGGAAAAGTAGGTTTAAGCCCATAAAAGGAGGGTCTGGAATTCTAAGCTAAAGGAAGTTAAGACTGTGAGAAAAGATTTAAGCAGAAGTACATGATAAAGATTAATTTGATACTCATGTATCAGATGAAACAGAGAATGAGTGACCAGTTAAAAGGCTTTTACAACAGGCCAAAGGAAAATGGTCTGAACTAACACAGTATCACTAAAAAGGAGGAGGAAGGCATAAGACGGATACACGAGGAACATGTAAACAAAAAGATCTGAAAGCTAAATGAGAGGAAGAAGGGAATATATGTTAAGAGGAGTGAAAATAATGAGAGGTCTTAAACATTAGGAACCTCTGATTAGGAACAGGGTGATACAACTAACAAAAATAGAGAATTCAAAAAAAGAGTTTTGGCACTTGGGTAAACCACATGTATGGAGGGTGGGTAGATAATGGTTAGATTTTATATATATATATATATATATATATATATACACACACACACACATATATATACATACACACACACTGAATCTGCCGAAAATATAGGTGGTTTTCATATATGTAGAGAGATGGGGCTAACACTCACCAAAGAGATGAGCACAGCAACATGAGAGATTTGGAAGTCACCTCACAGACGTGACAGTTAAAGCAATGGTCCTATGTTAGAAGAAAATAAATTGGAACACACACAAAAGACAGCTTACCTCATTTTGGCCATGTCCACCAGTATCTTGTTTGTTGCCAGAATAGCTGGAGGAACATTCATTTTATCGCCATGTTTCTGCCGAGCGTCTACCAATTTGCCATATAACACAGTCTGAACAAAAAACAAAGACACAACTCAATACTTTTTAAAACATACTTGTATCCAAACCTTTATTTTTAGAGCTTCACATATCACATTTTCCCTTAAGACGAATAAACCGAACTCTACCTCAGACTCCTAGCAAAAGAACAATTTTTAAAATACTGGCCACAGAATTTTAAGCATGCACAGGATCGTCACTAACCTCTCATAAAATAATTGCCTTTTTACTGTAGGCTTACCTGAGTCTCCTGCTCTTGAGCTGAAATAACAGGTTCTGAAGAAGTGTGAGATTTTTCTGGTGACTGCACCATGATACTAAAATATTTAAAAGAAAATAAATAATAAGAGCATTTCTTTCTCCTAGTTTACTTTCTATTTCGTTCCCCAGAATATCTTTCCAAGTTAGTACTAACGTTTATTCTTCACAATATAGTAAGGTAATTTATTTAATCACAATGGCCTAGATTTTAAACATTTTGGATTAAATATATTCATTATAATGGTAAAGTAAAAATTGCAATTTGAGTTCATCACAAAATTGGTGTGTTTAAAAGAGCATTTGTCCCATTCTCTTCCTCAACCAAATGCTTTGACAGAAAGTACACCTTTATCCATTCCAACAATAACATTTTTTTAACCTATTGGTTATAATAGATTTTTTTAACCTACTGGAATACAATCTTTTATTCTCATTGTAATAATTGATTTTTTGGTTAGTGGAGAACATGGGCAAAGGATTAATCAAGTTATTTAGAATTTCCTTCAAAATCAAATGAAAATGAAAAAGTCATTTTGTTTTTGATTCCTCACAAGGACAGAAAACACCCCATTAGCAAACTAGACAGAAAATCAATTTCTACAAGAGGCATTTCTTCTTAACTATAAATAGGAAAATTTATAAAAATGAACTTGTACAAAATATCCTATAAAAAGATGCCAAATTTAAGTGAATTCCTGTTTCGTGAGGGTAGAAGGGAAAATGTTTGGTATTAAAGATATGTTTTTAAATTTCTCTGTAGCAAGAATTTAGTGTAAAGTGAAATTTGATTTCCATAACTGGCAAACCCTATCACTAAAATAAGTAGACTTGAACCTGAGGAAAGAGAACTCCAACTGAAAGAAGAATATCAGAAAATCATAAACTTCTTTTAAATTACACATTAGCCTTTATCTTAGTATTTACAGACATCTTTATACTATATTACTAGCAAAATGGTATTTTAAATTATTTCATGAAGAAATTTTATATATACTGGCAAATGTTGGGTAACAGATCTCTGAGGCAGAAATATGTACAAAAAACATTTAATAAAAAATGTGTTGTCTATGTTATTACACGTGCACAAAAGAAAAGATTAAAATAACTATAATGAGCAGCATCAGAGATATAAGTGAAGATACTATATCCATGAAACAAGAAAAGACTGTCATACATTATCAAAGAAATAAGAAAACAAGAGTTAGACATTAAAAACTTGATAACTAAAATTAAAATTTCACTACATGGGAGGGGATAAAAAGTCAAGGAACTCTCTAAGAGAGTAAACAGAGAGACTGAAATGGGAGAACAGAAAAATTAATGAACACTAAACACCAATCAGAGAAAAGAATTATGAACACCAAAAAAAAAAATGTAGCAATGGACATAACAGTTTTGCTTAGTAGTATGTATATAATATTTATGTAGTTATAATACTGTAAAATAATATACTATAATATAAACAAATTATTACTATGACTAAACTTTTAATATAATTACGTTGGTAGAGGAATGAGTGAGGGGAAATCTACCATGATAGGAAGTTGACAGAAAATTTCTAATACTAATAAGTCAAAAAATAGTCATCTAAACATGTCAGAAGTATGGAGGCAAATGTCAGAGAAATCAGCTGGAATATTTGGGGGTGATTGATGCTACAGGAAAGAAGAAAGTGAGTTTGGGAAGCATGTGGACTAGTGCGCTTTGTCATAAGCTTTTAAGTACCAATTGATGTCTTAAACCAAGTACATAATAGTTACTGATATATAAGCAGAATGTTCGCTTCTGTACACTAAGCCTATATATTTAAATTAATTTCTGGACCACTCCACAGGTATCCCAAACTCAGTATTATCTATCAGTAAACTCCTGATTGTAACCGAAATCAACTTCTTTCAAACTTCTGTTGATGTTCTGACCTCCTCCCATGAATCATGAATATTCTTAATGCCAATCTAGAATGGTAAATCCTTTCCAGAAGTTTTTCAATTGATTTTTGCCAGGATCTATCAGAGGAATCACTATTTGTGGCAGGAATGGCCTTATAAAATGTATTTCTTAAATAAGACCTGAAAGTCAAAATGACTCCTTGATCCATGGGCTGCAGAACGGATGTTGTGTTAGCAGGCCTGTAAGCAACATTCATCTCCTTGTATGTCTCCATTACGGCTCTTGGTGACCAGGTGATTGTCAATGAGCAATAGTATTTTGAAAGGAATCTTCTTCTAAGCACTAGGTATCAATAGTGGGCTTAAAATATTCAGTAAGCCGTATTATAAATAGATGTGCTGTCATCCAAGCTCCACTGTTCCACTGACAATGCACAGGCATTGATAGTGCACAGGCAGAGAATTCTTAAGGGCTCTAGGATTTTTGGAATATTAAATTAGCATTGGCTTCAACTTAAAGTCATCAGCTCCATTAGCCCCGTAATAAGAGAGTCAGGCTATCCTCTGAAGCTTTGAAGCCAGGCATTGACTTCTCTTCTCTAGCTATAAAACTCCTAAATGACATACTCTTCCAACAGAAAGCTGTTCCATCTACATTGAAAATCTGTTGTTTAGTGTAGCCACCTTCATCAATTATCTTAGCTAAATCTTGTCAATAACTTGCTGCAGCTTCTACATCATGTTACAGAGACAGCTTTTTTTCTCTACATCCCATGAACCTCTGCTAGCTTCAAATTTTCCTTTTGCAGCTTCCTCACCTCTCTCAACCTTCATAGAATTGAAAAGAGTTAGGGCCATACTCCAAATTAGTCTTTGACTTAATGGAATGTTGTGGCTGCTTTGATCTCCTGTCTAGACAACTAAAACTCTCTCCATATTGGCACTAAGGCCTTTTCGCTCTTTTATCATTCATGTGTTCACTGAAGTAGCACTTTTCATTGCTTCAAGAATTTTTCCTTTGTATTTGCAACATAGCTAACTGTTTGGTGCAAGACATCTAGCTCTCCGCCTGTCTTAGCTTTTGACATGCCTCACTCACTAAGCTTAATTATTTCTATCTTTTGATTTAAGTGAGAGATGTGTTCACTTGAACACTTAGAGGCCAATGTTATTAATTGGCCTAATCTCAATATTTCTGTGTCTCAGCGAAAAGAGAGGCCCAAGAAGAGGGAGAGAGATGGGGGAAAGGCCGGTTGGTGGGGCAGTCGGAACACACACGGCATGGAGTATATTTGCCATCTTATACGGGCACGGTTCATGAAGCTCTAAAACAGTGACAATAGTAACATCAAAGATCACCAATCACAGATCACTATAACAGATATAATAACAATGTAAAAGTCTGAAATACTGTGAAAATTGCCAAAATGTGACAACAGCACATGCTGTTGGGAAAACGGTGCCAAAAGGTGCCAACAGATTTGCTTGATGCAGGGTTGCCACAAACCTTCAACTTTTAAAAATGCAATATCTGCAAGGTGCAATGAAGCAAAGCACAATAAAACAAAGTATGCCTGTATATATTTTATACAAATGCAACTAAATAGTCTTTAGATGCTAGAGGTAGACAAATACAGATTTGAAAGCTAGCCCTGCCATCAGCTGCATGGTACTGAATAAGTTAGTTAACTTCTTAACCTTTGGTACCTTCAACTATAAAGTGGGGATAAATATTAACAGCCAACACATACATTGTAAGAAATAAATAGCCTATTACATATAAAGTTCTTAGCATTTAACATAGTGCCTGGCAACAGTAATATCCAAGAAGCATTAGCTATTAAATTAACATTAATAATAGGTTGCTTTAATAATTTTAATACTGAAGGCTTATGCTTTAACTTCCTTATGCCAATGAAATATCCCAACATCCGACAGTCCTTTCTCTGTTGGGAAAAAAGAAAAAAGTGCTCATAATGTATAGAACATAGAAATATGGAACTCTCATACCTAAAAATGATACAAGCCATATATGACAGACCCATAGCCAACATCATACTGAATGGGGAAAGATTGAAATCATTCCCACTTAGAACTGGAACCAGACAAGGCTGCCCACTATCTCCACTTCTGTTCAACATAGTGCTGGAAGTCTTGGCTACAGCAATCAGACAGGAAAATGGAATCAAAGGTATCCAAATAGGGGCAGAAGAGATCA